GTGTGTGTGTGTGTGAGTGAGTGAATGAGTGTGTGTGTGTGTGAGAGAGAGAGTGTGTGTGTGAGTGTGTGTGAGAGAGTGTGTGTGTGTTTCTGTCTGGTCTCTCGGCAGCACAAACTGATGTTGTCATACATGACTGCAGGACTCTGGTGACAAACTCATGAACTGCTGTCCTCTGTTTGCCTCTCGCTGCGAGAGAAGAGTCTCGAACTCTGTCCATCAGTGTGTCTGTCTGTTTGTCCGTGCGTCTCAAGATCATACCTCATACTGCAATAAATAAATAAATATAATCTGGCCAAATATATGTTGAAAACAGTGAAAATACATTTTTTAAAACTGAAAATATATTTGGTTACAACCTTCATATACCAAAATATATTTTAAAATGCATTTCAGGGATAAGAAAATAAATGTCCAATCTTACAGTAGCCTACATTTAATGTAATCTACTAGCCCACTAGAGATTATAATGTTTTATAATGATTTGTTTTGCATATAGGAACATTGTTAAATATGTTCCTTGTTGATTTTTTTGTCGAGGGAACATGCTGGAGTCACGAGGAAACGTTTAACAGTCTTTAATCACGAAACACAGGAGATAATCCACAACAGGAGCTTGAGCCAACACACGGAGAGAACGAGTAGACCTGACAAACACAAACTGTAGAGACTAGGACATAAATACAGGGATGATTGGGGAAACACAGGTGCATGGGATCATAATCAAACTAATTAACAACACGAGGACAGGAACATGACCAAATAAGGAAACAGAAACGGGCAAAGCATGACACAGACAGTCCATGATCCTCACATTTTTATTCAATTATGTGATTATTGTGTGTTCTATGTTCACACGTATTATGGACAACAAATAACGTTTGTTTTTGTTTTTTTCAAATGTGGCATATGTGAATGTATATGCATTTTAAATTGCTTTTAAAAATATATATATTTAAATATTTCAAATACATTTTGGAAAATGGCCAAAATATATATTGGTAAATAATATATTTATGCCAATAATTTATTTATTTATTGCTGTATGGGGCAAATTAAGCAGCACCCGCCAACTGTTGCATCCTCACTATTAGTTAAAATGTGTGAATCACATGAAGAGCAGCCTCTGTCTCATCACAGGTGTTCTGAGAGAGCAGGGCATTGTGGGTAAAGTCCACCTGTAAAAGTTCCCAGCAGAACAAACAGGAAGTAAAGGTGACGAGGTCATTGACCTCTGAAGAACTGAATTCGGGTCAGTCCAGCGGATGTGAATGTGATGGACACAGAACGATCATTCCCCGCAAAACCGCTTGGAAAATATCAACTTTGTGTGTCATCGAACATGAACTCTTGATGAGCGCGAGTCAGATGCTTTCAGAATCAAGGTCGTTCTTTCAGGTGTTTTCTAGAAGTGGTGATCTGCGCTAATCATAGAGTCGTGATGTCAAAAGACTAATTCGGCACGGGCTCCCTAGAGACTTCTGTATGGGGTTTATAGCACACGTCCATCACGGAGACCCTATCTGACGTCTGCATTACATCTGCATCTGTTTGCTCTTCTGCAATACATCTACAGGACGTTTCCTTTTAGATGTCAAATAGACTTCAGATAGCACACGCACGTCTGTTAAAGATACACCGAAACTCACCGAAAAACACAGAATACACTGAAACTCAATGAAATTACAGACCCATTTTGCACGTTTACATACTTTACAAAGCTGAAATACTATCAGAGTAATAGTGTGTCAGACTGTGTGCTGCCCTCTGAAACAAATATTGAAATGCTATATAATTATTTCAGTCATTGCCTCGGGCTGTTATTAACTGGATTTTCCAGTAGGATGTAGTTTTTAAAATGATTAGGGATTACTGAAACACTTTTTGGTTCTTGCTCATTTCATTTCATAAGCTTTGAAATTTCAACATGAAACATCTTTGACTTTGTGTCATTAGTGTCAATTACATTCATAACGAATCCTTCATTTCTGCTGGTACCTGATAGTTACTTTCATCTAAACACAAATAATAATTTTTTGTAATAGTGCAATTTTTTGAGGAGTCTGTATAATATCTAAATAAGTCTGTATAATTTACATTAGACATGGTGCTGTACTCAAAACAGGTTTGAAGAAAAAAATCTGTGTTGAATTGTGCTGGAGTTATTACTAATGACATGTTTATTTACATTTGCATTTTTCTTTGCCATCCTCTAGTTTATATTTTGAATGAAAACTATATAAATATATAAGTGTGTGTGTGTATAAATATATATACTGTATATATATTGGTGACTGCAGATGAAGACATGTAGTCTGTGTCTCATTTCTCTCTCACAGATGGTCATTTAACAGTTCAGTGAAACACGGAGCACAAACGAATCGTTTCTTCAGTCAAAGGGAATCATGTTCAGGTGAGATTTGAGCAGATGTCGCTGTATGACGTGATTCTGAGTGTGAGGAGGATGAATATGGAAATGCCTTCAAATCAATTATGAATCATTTCTTTTGCATTTCATGAGGTGCTTCACTTGTGTCTTTGGAGATACATGCAGTGATACGAAGATGGAAATGATGTTTCTAAGTGTGTGTGTGTGTGTGTGTGTGTGTGAGAGAGAGAGAGAGAGAGAGTGTGTCAGTGTGTGTGTGTGTGTGTATCATCTATGATAAGATGAGATTTGTTGTCAGACGCCGCAGGTGCCACAGGGAATCTTACAGAGAGAGTGAGAAGATAAAGCCATGCTGAGAGGAACAAGACACTAGAGACCAAACACAC